CCTAAAAGTCTGTGAAAAAAATTCATTGCCTTTACTGTTCTTTTTCTTACCTACATAGAGGTTAAGAAACATTTTCCTGCTTCCGGAGCAGCCCACCTGTAGGAACTGATTTGCATTTGTGTTTTGATGTCAGCAATATCCATTTAAAGATATACCTATACCAAATCGAATATCCAGTTACCAAGGAAAGTAGGTCAGCTTGGGGGAGGCCATCTGTCAGACCCGTGTTTGGGTAAAAAGAAAACATAAGAAGGGGACTTACAAAAGAGCTGAGGTTTGTAGATAGGGCACCCACAGAGCTCTGTGGTTTCCAGCTGTCGCCCTCTTCTCTGGTTACATAAGTGTCCAAGAGCTGGAAGCCCAGAAAATGTGGAGGCGTCTGGCCTACAGAGCAGGACACACCATGCAAAACTCACTTTGCTGAAATAAGGGCAGGATCGAAGTGCTCAATTTATGTAATTTTTAAATACCTATACAGACAACGTAATGTTTTTCAGGAAGCAGGGGGAGATGATCAAATCCTTTGATATCATAACAGTTACAGTTTTTATTAAAATGTTCTGCAAACATGTTATTTCACATGGAGTTCATTGGTAAGAGCTCATGCACCAAGAGGTTTTATTAATATTCATCAATTTTGTTAAAAACAGTTGTGTAAATTGTCTGTAAACCAAAGAGTTGGCTTTTGAAAAGGGGGTCCTCCCCCCATCTTTGACAGGTTTGCAATTGCTCGTGTCATCATCGTGGGTAAACTGAGTCTCATGGGCACCCAAGGCAATGTCCATAACTCTGACTTCCCCTCCCATTTTTGTGACGCCCACTTTGACTAGTTCTTTCTCCCTTGTTTTCATACATGGTTATCTTGATGTGAAGCTGAGTGTGGATCCAAAAGACTTTCTCTCACAGGAGCTGATATTTTCTTTTCCTATGGTAGCATCAGTCTTTCTGTGTTTAAGCTTTCAGAAGTAAGCAAAAAGAAGAGCAGGAGAGAGACAGAGAACCAAGTCCTGGGAACTGAGGAGTGGAGTAGACATTCCATTTACTGTTTGCTAGTAGACACCTCTCTTTAGTATCTAGCATCATTCATCATAGATTAAATAACATCTTGTTCCTTTCTCTACTTGTCATTCTGGATTAAGCAATATTTTGACCTTTGCTCCACATCATTTATTTTCCTTTTCGGTTATTTTTATCATCTAATATTAGTAAATAACTGAAGCATAATTTCCACATAGGAAACTATACAAACTGTATTCATGCAATGAGCTACACACAAATGGGTGACATGGGTCTCTGAATATACTCACTTCATCAGGAAAGTCCCTCACGCCCTCCCAGCCAGTGAACAGCTGACCCTGAGAGTCAGTCCACTGTCTGATTGCTTTTACCAGAATAGATTTGCCTGGTTTTGAATTCATATAAATAGTATTATGCAGCAGGCTCTCCTTTGTACCTAGATTTTTTTTTTTTTTTGGCATAACCTGTTTTAAGATCCATCCATATCACAATGTATCTTAATACTTGAATCACTTTTATTGTTGAGTAACATCTGTCTGTAAATGGAATATAATCCATTTAACCATTCTCCTGCTGAGGGATATTTGCCCAGCATTGAATGTCTGTCTCAGTGATTCTGACTATTCTTCACACCCTCATCAAACTTGCATTTTCAGTTCTTTTTTGGATACTAACCATCCTAGTGTGTGTAAAGTGATTTCTCATAATTTTGATTGGCATTTCCCTGATGACTAACGATGCAAGCAGTTTTTACCATGCTTATTGACCACTTGTATGTCTTCTTTGGAGGAATGTTTATTCAAGCCTTTGCCTTTCATTTGAAATTCAGATAAACAATAAATAATTTATTTTAGTATAACTCTATCCCACACAATTTTGGAGATGCACATATACTGAAGTATCTGCTGTTGATCTGAAGCTCCATTTTCTGGCTTTTTATTGAATAAATCTGACAATCCCAGAAAGCAGGAGCTTTGCTCGTTCTAAAACAATCTGTAAATATCTCACAGTTTTGGGAAGGTGAGCTCTGAAATGGTTTAGTGTCTTTTTGTGAGTGTTTGACTGGTAGGCCTGTTTTATTAGAAAATTGTAATTTCATTTTGAGATGCTCCAGACTAAATCATTTGAGTTTCACACTCTTTGTGTAACATTATTGGACTCCCTTAATGAAATTATAACTCAAGCAAGATATTTCATTCTCTTGTAGTAAATTAGTTTGGGCTAGAAGGGTTTGGGGGAGCCAAGCCTTTCCTGAACTTATTCTTCTTGTTCTACAGAGTGAAGAAAAAGCCTGCATTTTGTATTTGAGTTATTTATTGTTCTCTTTGAGTGAACATTGCATTGTTGTACATCCCTACTGGAACAAAAGCTGTTAACAGCTTCCCTGGTCTCTGGGAAGCTTGGCTAAAAAGAAACAGGCTGGGTGAAGAAATAAAAAGAGCATGTTTTAGGTCTGGGTCTTGATTCTTGAAGGCTAACTGCATCTAAAACCACTAGTTAGTGTTTCTCATGAGAAGTCACATTTGATACATATTAATAACTCCCCTTTCTGATGACACAAGTGACAAAAAGCCACACGGTGCAAATGGAGCACAGCTCATAAAATCCCTGCCCTCAGGCATGCAGGGTCCAGAAGGTGAAAAAAAAAATTATCACAGAGCAAAGAAACCAGCCGCCATGCCCCCAGGCACCCTAACCAGCAGGAGAAATGGCTGTGACCTTCCCAGCCTTGTGCCTTCTTGGAGAAGCAATGGTGACCTAGCAACATTAGTTTTTAACTGTGTGCTGACATTCATGTGGAGCATTATGAATCATACAGACTTGAGATGTGCAGCTGTGAAGCAGAAACTGAGAAAAGGGTGCTCAGATGCAGGGGGTGGTCTCTCTTCCACAAGTGTTCATTCTGGCGGACAGTAGCTCCTAACTTCTGAGTCCATGGAAATCTCTTAAATAAGTCACTTTTTTTGGCTTCCGTTTTAGTCATTTTTTTAATTTCTTCAATTGTGCCTTTAACTATAATTCCTTAATATTTCTGCCTAAAAGAGAGATTGTTGATTCCAGGTTTGATCTATTGTAAATAGTGCTGCAATAAATATAGGAGTGCACTTGTCCTTTTGAATTAATGTTTCGTGTCCTTTGGGTAGACCTCTAGAAGTGGAATTGCTGGGTCATATGGTAGCTCCATTTTTAGTAGTCTGAAACAACCCACATGCCCAAAATTAGGTGATTGGATCAAGAAGACGTGATATATATATACACAGTGGAATACTACTCAGCAATCAAAAAGATAAACTCATGCCATTTGCAGCAATATGGATGAAGCTGGAAGGGATCATGCTTAGTGAAATAAGTCAGAAGGAAAAAAGAAAAATATGGAATAGTTTCACTGATAGGAGGAATACAATAGAACAAATAAGACATAGGAAAAAACTTGCATTGTTATTACAATACAAAGCAAAACAAAAACCAGACAATTATAAATTAAAGATTTCCTACAGGGGAGGGGAGACAGAGAGGGATTGGAAGGAGGAAGGGGTGTGGGGGACCGTGGAGATGATGATGGGAGGGTGAAGAGGGGAGGGGAAAGTAAACATTGTTTTAAAATGAAAAAAAAGTACAAAGAAAAAAATAACTTTAGATTTTGATGCACATAAAAACAAGTTGTGAGACAATAAATACTGTCTACATTTGTTTAAAATAAAACCAAAACAAACATGCATTAAAAAAATCATAAAGTTCAGGCAATAAATAAATAAATAAGAGAGATTGTTGGGACCACGAGGAATCTGTTTGACTGTTCACAGTGACCTTCCTCCTTGGGTCCCCTTTTCCCATTTGACTATTGCTGGGCCAGACCCCCAGGACATCCCAAGTGTACTCACTAACCAGTCCCCACCCGCAGCAGGCATAGAGAGATGAAGAGTGAAGGGTGGTAGGTTTAATAAATAAGGACACTTATTTAAGAGGCTAGTCTTTGGAAGTCTTCAAATGAGTAGTTTTCCACATCCTCCTCCCTTCCCTCTCCCCCATCAAATCTTGAAATTTTTATAGAGGCTTTAACTGTCTCTATAAGTTGCATCTGCAGTCCAGGTAGTCTCCCCAACACATTATTTATCTCAACACATTTTCCCAAAGCTGCTACCTTGACCATCCTCCTGGAAGCCACATACAAGCCAGGCTGCAAAGCAAGCTCAGGGGAAAAGGGCAGCTTCAAATTGCCAGGTTCGGGTTACAGGTGAAGAGGAGGTCAGAGTCCCTTTACTGCCTCCCCAACAGCTACATTCAGAGGTGTTGGGACCTGCGACACTGCCCTACCCACTGCAGGGGTGCAGGCAGAAGGGTGCACCCCTAGGTGTTAATGCCACATTCCCATTTCCAGGGCCCCAGCCTAACACTGTCTTCTCTCCCTTCCCTTTTCATCCCTCCTCTTCCTCCTCCTGCACCCATCTCTTTTATTCTCTCAAATACCCACTAAGTATATTTGATAGTTTTTGATAAGTCCTTTTTATATTTGCAATTCAGGCTCACCGAGCAAGTTTCCTCTAATGGGGAAAAATAGTCTTGACTTCAGCTGCACGATCCTGCCATAACTGAAATTTGTTACTTGCTTTAGCTCCTCTCTGGGAAAGGAGTCGGCCTGGCAAGCGTTGCCCCATCAGGCATCCTGGAAGCTCAGGCTAGGTTGTTGCCCTAGAGACGATTACTTTAAGTTTTAAGGGACTTGGAATAAGAGGAAGAGAGATGCCAAAAATAAGAAAAGAAGAAAGATGGAAATCATAAAGTTTTAAATTGAGTGGAGAGAGAAACTTGATAAAAAGCTGTCAGAAATTCAATAAAAGACTGGACAGAATGAAGTGACTGAAACGAAACTGACCTTTTAACTTTCCTTGTCCAAACCCTCAGTAATAAGAACACATGAAAGCACTGAGTTTTTCTGAAACTCGATGTCAAAAGTGCATTTCCTGTTCTTCTTTTCTTTCCAGACAAAGTAAGCATGTTGTCAGCATTCATCGCTCCCTTCAAGCACTTAAGCCCCGGGGCCACAATCGTGGAAGATGAAGACAATCTAAGTAAGCAGTTCCCCTTCCCCAAAGCATGGAGGGGATGGCAACTCAATGTACAGAGTGGGTGTCCTGGATTTCCCCTTGGGTGATGGAGGGGTAGGAGGATGTTCGCCAGACTGTTGAGAGCAGGAAATTCTGCTCACATTCCATCCCCTGAAATCCCATCACCACCTGGAATTTTACCCTCACCTGGATGTTTATCCTTATGTGAACTTCCCTTCCCTACCTGCAATCCCACTCTCACCTGGAATCCCATCTTCAGAGCCTTATCACCACCTGGATCCCATCCTCACCTGAAATTCCATCTTCACCTGGAATTCTTTTCCTACTTGGCATCCTATCCCTCTCCAAACTCTCATCCCCACCAAGACTCTCATCTTCACCTGGAATCTCATCCCCCACCTGGAATCCCTCCTTACCTGGGTAGTAGGAAAACATTAGCAGAGACAGAAACAGAAAATTCTAGGATTATAGGAAGAAAGACCTGTTCTCTTGAACCATCTCCCCTCTTTACCCCTCCAAACCCCCAAACCAAGAAAAATAAAAATGAGCACAGTTCTCTTTGAGCACTGTTTGTACAATTATTTAACAGGGAAAGAGCTGGATGGGTACCTGCCTGTCAAAGCATTTCTGGCAGGTGAAACTGGAGAGTCACCAGAGCAGTATGGGGCAGGGGATCTGAATAGACCTGCTGCTTGAACCTGAGAAGCCACCAGAGACAGGCCTGGTGTGTGTGGGAGCGGGGCTCCTGGGGGCATCTGGCAGCCATTATACTCCCCTCTCATCTGTAACACTGTCTCGTCTATAACACATTAACGAGGGGGATGAACATGCCAAGTCATATGAACACCTCTTTGCATTTCAATATTACCTAACAGATGGGTTACCTTTCAGCCAAAAAGCATTATGTATGTGCATTGTGGAGAGATGGAGAGGAGATGTTCATGTGCAGTCACTAGGATTGTAGATGTGCCCAAGAAGCAGCCCTGGGAAGGATGGCACAGGGCCACTGGCCATTCTGTCACTGGATTGAAAGGAACACAACACATCCCTCTGAACAACCCCTACCCAGGAAACATAACTACCAGCATATTCTGATAATCAACCTCAGCGACTGATACTACTAACCTGGATTATTGTACAAAAGCAAAGTAAAGAATCATGGAATGTTAGAACTGGAGCAAACCTTAGTGGTACTGTAGTTTGATTCCTTCACTTTCTAGATGAGGAAGTAAGGACATGGAGGATGAGGGAAAAGTACCCTTGAAAATAAAAGGATAGCCTCCTCTCCTTCAGTTCAAATTTCCCTCTTCAGCAAAGCGCATGGGCCGAGGTGAAACTTGACAGAGGATGCCCTCTGTTCCCTCATCACTTAAAGGGAAATTTTCTAGAAAATTAGTCAATTTGTAGATTGCTGCTTCAGAAATGGGACATCTATATATAAATACCTATATATTGGGAAGGATCTAAGACACAAGTCTATATACACACACACAGTCACACTGAATTAAATCAAATAAACTATTTGATGACTCACATAGAATAGACATCTTGAGGAAGAAATCTGACTCTGTTTCCTGGCTGAATCTGCTTTCCCTTAGGAGGAAAAGAAAGGAAAGAGTGAGCTGGGGCCAGAGGATGCTGTGTGAGTGGAGGACAGTTTATAACTGACAGAATCACAGACACCATCTTCCCATAGCCACCACCGAGACCTTGAACAACAGACCATCACCTTTGGAAAATTCCTGGGTTCTGCTTTTGAAGTTTTTAAAAGGGTCACATCCCCATAGGAGAGCATCTCCTCTCCTGCCTTCCAAAGCCTGGGGGCTCCTGAGGCTGCAGCAATTGGAAAGGCAGCTGGCGTGGGGGAGCGCTCCACTCCATCTCCATCTGCAACGCCAGCCCACACCTCAGGTCATGAATTTCACTACTCAGTGCTTCAGTATCCCATTTGTAGCACAGGGAGAGAAATATAACCTAAATAATACAGTTGAGGTCAGAACCAAATAAGATAATGCATGAAGCTGTTTTAGACAAGATCCTGAAACACAAATGTTCAATCAAAGATGGCTAATACCCATAATTAAAGTTATTTCCCTACTCTATGTACTGGCTAAAGGAAGAAATTTACAAATAAGAATAATTTATAATTATGTACTATGTAGTAAAATGTATTTGTAAAATGAAATACTTGGAGAACCTTATTTTCTATTAATATATCAGCTATTCATTTTGTAATATATGTTCTTTTACTTAAAAAGTCCTACTTTCATACATTGTTGAAAGATAAACCTCCAAATCCAGGTACTTGCCTTAAGCCTTCTCCCTAGTATTGCCAACAGTCTTGTCAATTTGTTTTCTGAATACAACTGGAAGGGAGAAAAAGAGTGACTATCACTCCCCTCTGGGGAGTGTGTAAGCCTATGTACCTATAGTGTGTGGGTGCCTGGTGTGTACATGAACGGGGTGGAGGGGTGGTGTGGTCAAAGCAAATGATCACTCGAAGTTTCCTGTTTCTGTTTTGTTCAATAACAAAACATGTGACAGGGTTGACTTCACCTAAGGTGCTTTTCTGCCCCTACTACCAGACGGGTGGGAAATGACCATTCAGGACAACGATGCTCTGACCTAAGCCGGTAATTCTGGAAGCTTCCTTTGAACTCTGAGAAATGAATTGATCCCAGTCCCATCACCTCAGTGCCATCTGACCGAAGGGATCTTTGTCCAGATCAGAAGCATGGCTGAGATATGTACTCCTGGACAAGTCCACGCTCTTTGTATGGGGAGGTGGTGGGGGAGTGGGGAGTTTAGTGAGGGAGGAGAGAGAGTCTTGCTAGCTTGCCAAACCTGTTTGCTCCTCACTCAGGGACTGTGTGCTTGAGAAAGCCACTGTATTCGTGACCCAAAGCAGAGGCCCTGTGCTCGCTGTGGTTCCCAGCACACAGGCGTTCACAGACTGTCCTGCACTTCACACACCCTCCATGTCAGGCCTCCCTCACAGGGAGTCCAAGGGCCTGTACAGTGCCACCAGTCCACAGGCTGCTCCCCTGTGGAGATGCCAGTCCACAGGCTGCCTCCATGCCTCCGAAAGCTCCAGGGGTGCTACTACTTCCCAAATCCAGCTGCATAGTGACCAGCAGTGAGCCCAGAAAAGGGAAGCAGCAAGGGGACCCACAGGCCCCTCTGCCTCCCACTGGGGAGAGAACATCGAGAGCACCACGGAGGACACCCCGTCCCCCCCCACCCCCAACAGCCTGTCCAATGTGGCCATGTGACTGAACTTCGCCTTGAAGACCATATCTCCATCTGGAAAATAAAAGTTAGCCACAACCATGTCAGTAGAAAATTCTGTCCTTTCTTTCCAAGGTACAATGCTCTTATGTTTTCATCCCTTAAATGTGGCACTACATTTACTGACATTTTTGGTCAAACAAAAGACAGAACCAGAGATGGATCCAACAGAACCAGCAGGATGGAAATCAACCATTTTTACCTTTTCCCTTACATGTGTCTGACTTCGACGTGTTCTTTAGTGCTATAGTCTTCAGATTGTTTCTGATTGTTCTGACTGCCACTGGTGGTATTTATCAAATGTATCTTGAAGTTATTTGCCTGGCTTGAAGTTATTTGCCTGCCTTTCTTCTAATTTCCACATAAAGGACACATACACCCCTCCTAATATCTGAAACTGCCCACAAACACCTCATGAAATTTGGCTGGTCTCAGCTGTCTCAGGTTGGACACTCAGGAGTGCCATCATTAACCCAGGGGCTAGACTGTCTGTTTGAACTGCTCCAAGTGTACAGCAAACACATTTTCAAATCAAATAACTTTCGTCACATAATCAACATTCTGTAATCAAATCTGGCACCCACAACCACAGGGAATCCTATATGGGGCAAGAGCTGCCCTCCTGTTGTTCTTAACTGGCTACAGCAGCCATGGCGTGTCTTCCACGGCCATGTTTCACTGTCATGACCAAGCACATGCTCTCAATGCCTGGGATACCTCGGGGTATGTGAAATTGTCCACACAGCCTCTCAATGGGGCCTCGTGAGCCTCCTCATGCCCATTGGCTAACAACACCCAGGTGTGTGAGCTTCTTTCCTTTCCCCAGAGATTGATTAGTAGGGTTCACCACTATTCTGTAGACAAAACTGAATCTCAAAAAGTGACAAGACAAAACACTGCCCAACAGGGCAGAGAGAAGCATGACTCACTCTGGACTCAGAACAGCATGAGCCTCATGCCTACATCCTCATGAGACAGGGCAACTTGGTCACCGATTCTGCCTGCAGCTCACATTTGCATTTCCTGAGTTGCAGCAGTATCCAAGGTGCAGAGTTACAGGTTAGCATACAGACAGCTAGGATGCAGACAGCCAGGATGGGCCTATGCCCACCCCAGAGGCCAGAGCCTCTCTCCTTGAGAGGGACAGCTCACATCTGCCCACCCCTCAGGAGTGACTCCTGCTCAAAACTACTGGACAATATCACCCCAGAGATTCCAGCAGTATATCCAGGATGAACTCAGAAGTCTGTCTTCTTTTCAGTTATGATGGAAGGTTTCCTCAGCTGCCATCTGAAAAAGGCTTCTGCATGAGGACTTCAGTAGTGAAGTCATGGGACATTCAGCGTCATGGAGCAGAGCATGGGGGCATCTCAGTGCTGGTGAGGCTGTTACTCTAAGACAAACATTCCACCTCAAAAGCAGTGGAGGTCATCTGATTACCTCGGCTTTAATTGCACCAACAATCTCACTCTGCCCCTCCTGTGAGGAATCAATAAGAAATTAGAGAACTCCCAGTGAGTCCTAGGCAATCTGGGGTGGGGTCTGGGGCTGGGTTGTTTTTTATTTGTTCCATCTTCATGCACCATTTGGGAAACTACACTGTTCATTCTCTCCTGTGACCTGAAATAGCCACCGAGGAGCCCACACAGTGTGGACATCCCAATGCACAACAGCTAGTGAGGTGCAGCACTGGGCATCTGGACGGTGACTGTTCTTCTGTTGTACATGAAAGTCATCTACCTCTACCGCGTGAAAACTCTCAGGTTCACTCTTGAAAAAAAGTCCCTCTGCAAACCTAATATTGTATAGAAGCATATTGCTAGAAAAAAAAAAAAAACGTTAATAGAACCCCTTACAAGTTACAAAATTAAACTAGTGAGCAGTTGAGGTTTCAAAGTAGGTTCAAAGTAGGGCCTTGTATGCTGCCGATGGACTGTGGTGGAAGGGGGGGGCAGAGCTATCACCTGTCCTGAACTGAAAGGCCCTGGAATGTGAGGACACCTCTCGGAAACAGCTGACTTTCAGAGCATCATTTATGCCTGTGGAATTACACGTTTCTTTATCATTCCTCAAGAGCAATGCCATGATCAGACTGCCTGGCTGGTCAGGTCTTATGCTGCCTGATCTTGAGCTCAGGAAGGAGCCCTCCCAAACCCAGCTCAGCTTTCCACTTGCTAGTGAGAAAAAAATGTTGATGACCTACTGTACAGCCTTCCAGAAGAATCCCACTCCCCATGAAAAGATCTAAGGTCATAAGGAATGTCTGTATGATCTTGCCTGGCCCAGACATGGCCCACCTATCTTCACAGCCCTCAGAATATGATAGCAGAAGACCCTCCAAGGAACTTTACAGAACTTTTTTCATTTCCATAAAATCAGCCTGACAGCAACAGCAGATGAGGGGATCTGTCAATCCTGGAATACGAGCACCTGGGCCTGTTGACCAACTGACTGTGAGACCTCAGGTCAACTGCTTCACCTTTGACCCCAGTTTCCTCTCTGTGCAATGGCACCATAAGAAACAGCTCATAGGTGAGGGTTTATGTAGCACTCAGGTAAGGCACCTCACTACTCACTATATCATCCTCAGATGTTTCACAGGACACTTGTCCTGTGGTCTGTGGCCATCACTGCTGAGACTCCAAATGGAGAAGCGATGCTGGCAGAGGAGCTTTGAGGGCCAATTCAGAATCTTAAATCAGTGTGTGCACCCATCACCTGCAACTTACTTCATTTAAACTTTGCTACGTTTTCTTCATAGCATTTTCTTATAAAAGGAGTGAAATATCACCTACAGAACAGAAAACTCCCTCTGAGCCACATTGACTTAGCACTTATCTCTCTAGGGATGTGGGACTCTATCTTCAGCTTTGCCACATTATTTGATTATACAAACCCTATGTAATATCTGTGTTTATATAATTTATTTTAATAGCTTCCTACTCTGTGATTATCTTGCCAGTTTCTCTAATGATATTTCTGAGATTTATCTGTCTTGAAGTATATAGATCTAGCTCATTAAATGTAACTGCTTTGTTGTATTCCACTGTTGTATTCCACAATTTATTCACTGCTCCTCTGTTTGTGAGAACATAGAATCTTTGTAAGCTTCTAGTTTCACCAGAAAAAAAATAATAAAACTATATACATATATATGTTCTGATGATGTACTCATTCGTTCTCTGCTTCTGTACTCATACGGGGACCTATATACAGTGGTGCAGTGGCTGAGTGTGAGTTTCTATAACCTTACTACTAAACATCGCAAAATGCTTTTCAAAGGGTTGTGCTTATCTTCTTTACCATCAATATGGGTGCCAGAGCCTTAAAAACACATTGACATTATTAGTCTTTTTTTCATTAACATTTTTTTATTAATTTACTAGTCTTTTTGAAATAGTTATCTATTGGATTGAAATGGAAACGAATCTTGAGGCAGAAATCAAGATGTGGTCGGAGACTCCGCTGTCACTTGGCCAAGAGAGTGCTCTTCCCTGTGGGTGAGCCCTCAGCCCTTCACTGGCATGGAGGGGTCCAGTGGCTTCTGCCCCAACTGTAGATGTTCTTCTTATTTAACATGTTGATGTCAGGGACTCTACAGAACACTAAAAACCCAATGTTTGGACATATGAGTTGTTCATAAGCTCTGAGTGACCCCTATAGCCAGGAACAGAGCCACATTTCAGACTGAACGCAAAAGCCCCCCAACTCTGAGGCTCAGCCAGCTCCCCGGGCCATTTCTGGCCCAGTGGGTGGAAAACACTTTCCTTAGAGGGCCAGGTAGTAACCTACAGGCTCTGGAGCCAGATGGCCTTTGTGAACAAAGTTGAGTTTTGTGACTTGGTCATCAATGGTAATGCCTGACCTTAGGGCAGCTGCCTGTGCCCTGGTTCTGACCTTCTGTTCTCACACCCAGGTACCAGCAGCACAGAGGTGAAGGAGAACCGTAATGTGAGCAACCTGGAGGCAAGGCCACTGCCCCCCACTGACAAGGCCCGTGGAGTGCCGGGGATGAAAAGGAAAAGGCCCTTAGAGGAGGGGAATGGCAGCCACTTCTGCAAACTGCAGTTAATCTGGAAGAAGCTCTCATGGTCTATGACACCAAAGAACGCACTGGTCCAGCTGCATGAGCTGAAGCCGGACCTGCAGTACCGGATGGTGTCCCAAACAGGCCCAGTGCATGCCCCTGTCTTCGCTGTGGCTGTGGAAGTGAATGGGCTCACATTTGAGGGCACGGGGCCCACCAAAAAGAAAGCCAAGATGCGGGCGGCGGAGCTGGCCCTCAAGTCTTTCGTGCAGTTCCCCAATGCCTGCCAGGCCCACCTGGCCTTGGGCAGTGGGCCCAGCCCATCCACAGACTTCACCTCTGACCAAGCCGACTTCCCCGACACACTCTTCAAGGAATTTGAACCATCAGCACCCAGAGAGGACTTCCCCGGGCGCTGCCCGGTTGACCCTGAGCTGCTGTCCACTGCCTACCGGAGAGGCCGGCTGCTCTGCCACACGCTGGACCTGGTGGGCCAGGCCCGGCCAAACAGACCCAGGCCGGCACCTGTGACCCCAGGCGAGAGGAACCCAGTGGTGGTGTTGAACGAGCTGCGCTCAGGCCTACGCTATGTGTGCCTCTCGGAGACAGCCGAGAGACAGCGGGCCAAGAGTTTTGTCATGGCTGTGTGCGTGGACGGGAGGACGTTTGAAGGCTCAGGACGCAGCAAGAAGCTGGCCAAAGGCCAGGCGGCACAGGCCGCCCTGCAGGCCCTCTTCAACATCCGGCTGCCCGGCCACGTCCCCAGCAGGAGTAAAAGTCACCTCTTGCCCCAGGTGAGAATTCTCGGGTTGCTGCCAGCAGGTAGCACGCTTCAGGATGCTAGGATGCCCGTGAGAGGTGACGGGGCAGCAGGCAGACCCCTCTGCTCCAGTCACTGTAAGTAGCGATCGGCCCCCACGCGTCCCCCCCTTCCCCAAAAACCCGGCTTGCCCCATATCCAGAGACCCTTATTCCTGGTCTCATCAGTGAGTGATTTTCAGGCTTTGGGGAGAGATCATGTGAGCATGAAGGAACTCCAACTCAGCAGAGATGGGGAGCTCATGAAGCCTTAGCGTCCTTGACACCAGCACCAACTGACGACAAGGGAGAAAGGAGGGCCAGGGTGGGAGGCTCCTGTCCACTGAGAAAGGACCAGTAGTCTGGGCTGCTAGGCCCTTCATTCAGTTCAGAGGGGTTGAGCTCTCTGCAGCAGGACAAAGAACAGAGGGAGAATAGTTTGAGGGTGATGGCTTGGGCTAAGTGTCCAGCCAGAGACTGGAAGAAGGGTGTATCCCCCTGCGTGTGACTGCGGTGGTTGGTGGGACACATGGAGGGACAAGGGCAGGAGAAACTCACAGCAGGAGACGGAGGCTCAGGAAGGGGAGTTGGGGCAGAAGCTTTGCAATGCTTTCACCTTGAGGCCTTTTTAGACTCTGTAACTGGTCTTTATGCGCGGCTTTACCTTGCCTTGTTGGAGAAATCTTTTTCAGCCCTGCCCACCTCTCTGTAATGATTCTTAGGCCCTTCTGAAATAACCTCAAACTTCCAAGGCTTACAACTGCCTACTTACACAAATTATCTTGTATCATTTTGGAAATTTTGTGCGGATTTCACTAATAGATTAGCTACAGGAAATTCTCTTTTCTCACTCATGGCAGCAGTTGAGGAAAGGAACACTTCACTGAGTTAAAAAGCAGTGAGGCCAGGAGCAGTGTGCAGTAACTGATGGCAATCATTGTTCTGGGCAATTCTGGGCAGTCACGCAGGAATGGAGTCTGGTCTTGGGAGAGAAGGCAGGCTGCCCCACGCCACAGCACGGAAGGGGCACCCTGCAAAGGTCCAAACGAGGTACACGGAGACAGATACCGTGTTCAGAACCATGAACGGGCTCAAGCGCTCATTCCACCGTCCTTCCGTAACTATGCCCAGAACACTCAAGGGGCAAAGCAGAAAGCCTGCTCCTCGCAGCTCCGTCTAGTGAGGGGGAGATTGGACCAGGAGTCCCAATTGAGAGAGCTGTTTCTCCTGCTAGCTCTGCCCAGTTTCTTCACTGATTTCCAGATATTTCTGAATCCTTTGAGGAGTGGGTTGAAGGGCTTTAGACAGCATTTCCTGCCATCTTGCCTTTTAGCCCACTGCCACAAAATATGTGACACGAGTAAAAGCTGACATTTGCAAAATAAGTTCAGATGTCAGTTCTTGAGCACCTCTTGGCAAAAAATTGTGCAGCCTTGTTTCTTTCCCTCCTCTCATGCCTCCATTTCATTTCCCGTCCTCTTTTCTTTCCTTCCATCTCTCCATCCACTCTGTGGCTTCAAATTGCCAAGGACACCCAAGAAGTCACCTTATGACTCTGGATGAGCTGGGCTGCCCGTGACCTTTGGTATCACCTTGCAAAGGTGCCCCTCTGCAGTGTCTGCAATGGGGTGGGGGGAAGACAGTGGTCATTGGGATGTCCCTCAGAGCCCCTTCTCCCAGGCTGGTATTTCCTGTTTAGCAATAAATGCCATTTCTCTCCCTCTCTGTCCTGTGTGTCCCACCCCTAGTAGATTTTGAAGGATGTCAGTGAGTTTCTGGCCACTGTGCTTTTTCTCTCACATTGTCAGCCCTGAGCCTCACGATGGAGGGGCCAGCAGCACCCCGCTTTGTAACAGTCATTTGACCCCAGAATGTAGCACATCAGTAAGAGCCGCGGCCGCGAAATTATTTTTCTCTGACAGTCTGCTAACCACCCCGAGTGGATGATGGAGGGCGGGAGCAAAGCGAGGGCCGCGGCCATCCATCACCGGAGGCCCTGCCAGCCTGCAGGCTCGTTACCCCTCCCTCGCCCCGGTGCCCGCTGGGTGAGCAGAGCAGCCAGGGAACTCAGGACCAGGCGCCCTCAGCAGCTTCATTAAATTCAAATTCAGCCTGGATGTGGTCTAGATTCTAGGACTGTTCTTAGAATGTAAGGCCGGAATTTCTGCAATGCTATTTCGCTCTCTTGCTTGGCCCAACACACCATCTACGCAGCATGAGTCCCTAGCACACGGGTACCTGGTGCTGTCGGCACCATAGCACCAGAGCACTAAACCCCAGGGGCAGAACTCTCAACATCCTATCTAACTGTCTGCTAGACACCTATACCGGAGAGCAAGTGCACCCCTAACCCTGGGCAAGACTCCTGAACTGCTGCCCACAGCCTCAGAAGAGGCCAGGCCCCAGACCCCAGGCCCCAGACCCCAGGCCTCAGGCCCCAGGTCCCAGACCCAACCCTAGACCCCAGACTACAAGGACCCTGCCTGCATGCGCTGGGGAGGAGGACATTGAGCTGGCGGGGCACATTGTCTGGAACATCCTCCCACATCAATATTTAACGTCCTCTGCCTAAGTCCCAGGTTTGGCCTGACACAGGTCTCAGGTGTACTACAGAACCACCCACAGGTCTGGTTCTCAGAAACCTGTAGGTTCACACTCCTTATGAAGCAAACAGAGATGCAGATCTGTGCAGTACTCCTCACCAAATCACAGTCTCTCATGGATGAAGCTTCAGAACCATGTGAGAGCCACCTGGTTGTTTCTATGCAATGCCTAGAATTGTGCAGGGAGCTTGTTTACACGCCACTTTGGACCCTACTGCAAAAAAATTCAGCAGGTGCATTTCTGTCAAATGTCCTGCCTTGATTCCCATGCTGGAGGTCAGGGTCACCCACAAGGAAAATTGTCATTTGGATCTTCATCCCAGCTTGCTCCTGAAAGAACAGGACTGGCCCGCAGGGCAGGCTGGTGTTTGCTCCGTTTTAGACAGTGCAGAGTACACACCTCTCCCAAATACCCTGGCTGAACCTGCAGGTACTCATCTCTGTGGCCACTGCCTGTGTGTTCTTTTTAAAGAATGAAGCACGTACCTCGCCGTGCTTAGCCAAGTTTTCCCACGATAGAGGTAAAGAAGCATAAGCTTGTTTCCAGCCTCAATCTTGAAAAAGTTCTAAAGAATAATGTTCTTAATAACGATTAAAACCACAGGTTTCGATTTCTCCAGGAACTAATTTTCTCCGTTTTCTGTACCTGGGGGTATTTCTAGAATCAGACTACTTGCGTTCCTTCAATTTCATGAGGTCTCATACTACGTCTGTTAGCCAGAGTGGTGAGATCAAGACTTTATTAAATTCCTTAAAACACAGAGCAGATTTAAAGGAGCGGCGTCTGCAATGCTCACAGCAGTGTGTGGAGAGTGGGCACTCTGCAATGTCTCTCTGAACCCCTCAATTCTTTACACCAGCTGTTGGTCCACTCCATTGGTCAGGTCTGTTCCACGTGAAGGGGACATGTGGAAGCAAGGATGAGACTATGTCAGAACAGGAACCCTCATTACTTGGAAGCATCGTCATAAAAATGGTGATTGTAAAATCTGCATCTCTCCTGCCCACCCCAGCATTAAAGGAATTCAATTTCCAAAAGCACTAAATTCAAGACCTGTCTTTCAGCATTTCCTTTCCAAGGAAACTTGTCAAAGAAGAGAATAAAGCAACTGTGATGGGTATAGGAAGAAAGGAACCACAGGTCTGGAGAGGGGGTAATGTCATAAAAGATCACTTCTTGAGGGAAACAACCCAATTGATTGATTTGTTTGGAATTGTTCTTTCATCCTCAATGAATTGTTTTATATTTCTTTTTTTAAACTATTATGTAAGCCTATAGTGGTGTTAGCACTGTCTCAAAGATTTAGTCAAAGCCCCTTTTTCAGAGTGAGGGGAACACTTGCAAAAGCTACCAACAAAGGTTGGGTGCATTCACCAAGCCCTCCAGAGGCCCTTTAGGGCGATGGGGTCTGAGACTCATCTGACTGTTTTTACACACCCACCACCTCCTCCCAGCCCCATTCTCTGTTCTCTGCAATTATGACTACAGAGGGGTGAGACTATGTGGATATATAACGTAATAAGCATAAACAAATTTTCTAGATTCAGCATTTTATAGTAAATTTGTCAGAACTCTATGCATGACCCCATTTCCCTTAGAATCTACCCTTAGAATTAGCTGCAAAATTAGAGGGGGACCTGGCATTCTTACTGCTCTTTCAATAACTGCACAACAGGACACTAATGGGCTGTTTGCACAAATGCCTCTGTCCTTCCAAACACCAAGA